CACTTAGGCCCAGATCACTGCATTCCCTCATCCCCTTTGCGCCACTCTTTACCGTTTTGTCTCGCGCCTTCCTGACCACCTTGCCACTGCCCATGACCACTTCCTTAGTTAGCACCCAATTGACCTCACCCTTCTTGCCTTTCTCACCGCCCTGTCCGCGATAGAGATCAGCCAATGCACTATCGCTAAGTAAAGTGGTATTGCGACGGTCCCTATCTTCCAGGGTTGTGCTCCCTCCCAGTGCGCTTACTCTGACGTCTCTGTCGCTGTTGCCGAGACGGCCCCTGCTGCTGAGACTGCTGCGACGGCCTCAGCGCAGGCTCTTCAGGGTAGGGGACGTCGAGCCCAGGGGGGGCGTGGCAGAGGGGACGGTGGTGCGGACGAGGGGACAAGGGCTTGTGTCCCGATGCAGCAGCAGTCAATGTAGCAGCAGCAATAGCAGGCGTGGTGACCCCCGCCGCCATGGTGGACCGGCGGCGCTGGCGGTGGTAGTCGTGGTGGTGGGCCGCGCAGCTTGGTCTCAGGTGGCAAACCCAGTGTTGTTACCTGCCAGTACCAGCTTCAGTCCGGCCTTCGCCATGGCACCGTCTGCGACCGACCCAATCACACCACCGCTTGCTGCTACCGCCGCCTGGACAACCTCTTCCGTCTCCGCTTCAACCCTGCGTCGGACCCCCCCGACTGGTACAGCCTGGTGCGTCGTTGTGTGCCTGTCTTTGAGCTGGATATGGATCAGATTAGGTCTGCTCTGTATATCATATATGCTGATGACTCTAGCGTGACTAGACCCTATTACCCTGTGTTGCGTAGTGTAGGTGCGTCCACTGTGTGTAGCCTAGGTTCCCCTGCTGCGTCAGGCGTAGGACCACCTGCCTTGTTTAGCCTCGGCTCCACTCTAGCTCCTATGCCTTTGGATGCCACCGCCGCGCTCTCTTTCCCGTTAGACTTGGGTGCGTCCACCTGCTTTTTTCGCGACAACACTGTGCTCACGCCGCTTGCCGCCCCTGTTGCTGTAGCGCTTGCAGACCCCTCCCCAAGTCTGGTAGTTGCACGTAGCTCCACTACCTTTCCCTGTCCGACGGTTCCCTCGGGCTCCCTTACAGGATTGCACATCCCCTCGTTCTGCAGGAACCTTGTTGGTGTCGGATGTCTTCCGGACCTCGGCGTCACCACTAAGTTTCATGGATACGAGCGATACGCAGGCTGCACCGAGGCCGCCACTGGTGCCCCTCTCACCACATTCCCCCGGGACCTGGTGCCTGGCCTGTTCACTCTAGACACTGCGTCCCCCCTGGTGAGAGCATCCCCCCAGGTGGTCGCGCCCTCCCAGGTCGCTGCGGCTTGCTTGTGTCGGTCCCTCACCCACCCGTCACTGTTGTGGCACCACCGCTTAGGTCACCCCGCACTCCCACGTCGACGTCACATGTCTCTGCACGGTCTTCTCTTAGGTCTCTCTGCATCGCTCCTCGCCCTCCCTCCCTTGCCTGCGCCACCGTGCATGCCCTTTGTCGAGGGCCAGCTGCGCCGTGCCCCTTACTCCTCCTCGCTTCCCCCTACCACTGCGCCACTCCAGACCCTGCATCTAGACGTCTGGTGCCCAGCCTAGGCCGCGCCGAGAGCGCTACTTTTTGGTGCTCGTCAACGACTACACGCGCTACACCACAGTGTTTCCCCTGGAGCAGAAGACAAACGTTCTTGGCATTCTTATCTTGTGGGTCGTAGCTGCGCGAGTCCACCGTGGTCTCCCTGTGCTTCGTCTTCACTCCGACCGTGACAGCGAGTTCACCTCCGGTCGGCTTGGCCAGTTCTGTCGTGCAGAGGGCATCACCCAGCCGTACGCCCTGCTGGAGTCCCCGCAGCATAATGGGGTCACTGAGTGACCCATTGGTTTGGTCATGGAGGTGACTCATACCTCCATGATCCATGCTGGTGCACCTCATTTTCTATGGCCGTTCGTTGTTCGCTACGCCGCTCACCAGCTTAACATGTGGCCACACTCCTTGGCTGCAGGTTTCGCCGACCCTCCTCTAGACCGAGTCCCCTGGAGGCGCGTCTGCATTCCATGTCTGGGGCTGCATCGCTCATGTTTGTGCCTATGGCACAGACAAGCTCACTGCCCGCACAGTCCCTTGTATCTTCCTTGGGTTCCCCCTAGATGCGTCTGACTGGCACTTTTACCACCCCGCATCTCACCGTTTTTTTCACTCTCACGACGTCACTTTTGGCGAGTATGTCTCCTTCTACAGCCGCTTTCCTCACCGAGGTCTCCTCCGCCACCGCAGCTGTAGTCGCCGTCGCCGCCGCAGCAGCAGCCGTGGCTGCTTCAGGGATTCAAGAGCTCAGGGGGTGTGGGCGTTCACGAGGGTGCTGGTTCTGGGGGTGCTCGTCCTGAGGGTACTTCCGTGGCTTCTCCCGGCGGTCCTGGGGGGTGGCACGGGTGCTGGAGAGGTTTCTCGTTCTGCGGGTGTTGGCGTGGAGCGTCCCGGCGGTAGCCGTGGTGCAGCTGGAGGTTCTAGATTTGGCGTGGAGCAGCAGCAGCAGCAGACGCCGTTGGTGTCCGCCCTTCGCCTCCTCGGTCTTCCTTCCCCCGAGCGCCCGCCCGCGCCTCCCCCGCTGCCGCCTCCCCTGCCTGTCTACGGCCATGCGTTTCCTCCTCGGGACTCGTCCCCGGCTTGTTCCCCCCTCCTTCTCTTGATGTTTATCCTCCCTTGACTCCTGACCCGAACCCCTCTCCCGCTGGTGGTCTCACCGTGCATCTCGTGCTCATCCTGTCTCTCTATTTTAGCGCTCTCACCCTATGTTGCTCCGTTCTCACGCGTCTCATGCTCCCCTTCTACCGTCGTCTCCTCAGTCGTCGCTTGTTGTCTCCCCTCCTCCTCTCTCTAACTTCCTCCGTGCCACTAGCCCGCTTGTCCCTCGCGTTCTCGCTTCTCTTGTTACCGACTTGTCCATTCTTGTCTCCAGTCTTGACGCTCTTGTCCATGTCGTCGCTGACTTTGCCTCTACCCGCCGCCTTGAATACGCCACCGCTCTGGTTTCTGACCCTGCTCGTCCTCCGTCCGTCGGGGGTGTTCCTACCCTTCTAGTGGACAGACAGTACGACCTCGCTTTCCTGTCCGAGGCTGCTCCCCATCTCTGCTCCATGCTCCTAGTCCCCGAGGGTGACCTAGACGCTCTTAACATCCCAACCCTTGCACTTACGCTGAGGCAACCTTAGGACCTTGGGCCTCTCAGTGGATAGCTGCCATGGACGCGAAGATGGCGTCTTGGAGATCCACCGGCACCTACGTCGATGAAGTTCCCCCACCTGGGGTGAACGTCGGTGATCGCCGCTGGCTCTTCAAGGTGAAGTGCCCTCCTGGATAGCCGCCGGTGTTCAAGGCGCGCTACGTTGCCAGATGCGTTGACCTTTTTGAGACCTTTGCCTTGACCTCGAAGATGACCAATCTTCGGGCGCTGCTACACGTAGCAGCACAGCGTGCCTATGAGCTACACTCTCTCGACTTCTCAACAACTTTTCTTTAGGGCACTCTGTACGAGCAGGTCTACCTGCGTTGACCGTCCGGCTTCACCGACACCTTCGCCCTTGGTACCGAGTGGCTCCTCCGGCGCTCGGTTTACGGCCTGCGGTAGGCGCCCTGTGGCACGACACGCTACGAGCTACGTTAGCTAATCTGCAGTTTTTCCAGTCATCTGCAGACCCCTTGCTCTTCGTTCGTTTTGGCCAAACCCTGTTCTACATCATTGTCTACCTAGACGACCTGGTCTTCACTACTGCAGACAGAGACGCACTAGCCTCTGTAAAGGCTGTGCTTCTGAGGAAACACACATGCACTGACCTAGGAGAGCTGCGCCGCTACCTTGGCCGGCAGATCTCCAAGGACAGAGCAGAGCGCACCACCACTCTTATACACTCATACTTGGTACGCCACGTCCTTCAGAGGTTCGGTCTTCACTCCTCCTCCGCACAGCCCACACCTCTGCCAGTAGATTATAGGCTCTCGGCTCTAGTCTCTGAGGAGTCTGTAGAGCCTAGTTGTCCTTACGCAGAGCTTGTGGTTTGCCTCATGTACCTGATGACTTGCACTCGTCCAGATCTTGCATACCCTCTCAGCATCCTGGCTCGCTTTGTTGCCACAAACAGACACCGACCACAGCATTGGTCGGCCCCTAAGAGGGTTTTGCGTTATCAAGCAAGTACATCGGGCATGGGGCTAGTGCTAAGAGGACGCAGGCCAGTGGTCCTTACAGGACACACAAACGCTTTGTGGGCAGACAATGCTGAAATGCTCAGGTCCTCCCAGGGCTACTGTTTTAGCCTTGGTGCAGGAGCAATCTCGTGGAGGTCCACCCGCTTGTTGTCTGTTGCACAGTCTAGCTGTGAGGCTGAGATCTACGCTGGTGCCATGGCGGCACAGGAGCTCCGTTGGCTGACTACATTGCTCACAGACTTAGGTGAGCAGCCTAGCTCTGCCCCGGTCCTGTATGCTGGCAACAGGGCGATGATCCTCCAGTGTCAGGAGCGTCGACTGGAGGGCAGAGCGAAGCACATCCAGTTGCGGTACTTCCTCTTGCGCGAGCTACAGCAGCGCCGCCAGGCCCTCGTAGTTCACTTGGCCTCCGGTACCAACACATCTGATATCTTTACGAAGGCGCGTGTGCCTAAAGATCATGAGCGGCACTGTGTGCAGTTTGGTCTAGTTCCTGTAGCTTTTCACTTGCTAGGACCTTGATTGTGTACTATATCTTATATTACCTTGACTGGCCTTGTGGCTCCTGTTCCAATGGCTGGACTAGTAGTGCCAGCCACCCTGGGTTACTCTTGTTGACTTCGTACTCTTGCTGATTGGTCTTCATACCCTTGCATCCGAGGTTGGACTAGTAGTGCCACCCTGAGCTGTGTCTCTTTCTAGTCGTTGCCCCTTGTCTAGCCTAGGGGGTGTGTCAACATATATTTGTATATGTTATAGGCTAGATAGGTGCATGCTCATAGAGTACAAACTCCTTGGTACAAAACCACCCTATATCACTCTTTCTAGTTCATTTCGTTTTTCTGAGTGTTGCCATTTCAAACCACAATTTCTAACAACCGAGTTCTACCGGGCATTCACGTTGAGAACTAAAAATTGCACCAAGCCTGAAGAATCAGAGAGCTAGTTCAAATACCGGTAGATTGCCTGAAAATCAGACATAGTCGCAAAAATGTAGACTTGTGAGGACCTGCTCATGGTGCTGCTACGCCTTGATGCCAACAAATGTGCGCTCGAAGACGGAGTTAGCCATGAGCCACACACACTCCGTGGAACTGAATGTCGCAGGGAGGGCCTCAGTCAACTGCTGCATCAATGACTCCTTGTCCCTGGAAGGATGGGTCATGGGGGAATGGAAAGCCAAGGGGAGAAAAGCAGAGCGAACAGAGTGAATTGCAAGCATGGGAGTGGTCAAAGGAAGACAACAAACGAGCGCAAGGAATCACCTCTTCATGGATGCACAAAAAGATCAAATGATTGCTTTCCTCGCAACTTCCTTCTCTCGTTGATCTTCTACTCCTGGTGCTAACAAAGAGAATAGAGCACTGCCTCATTCCCCCACCTGCCTCGCCCTCTGCACTTCATTGTGAGCACCAGTATCCCTCCAGGGGCAAGAGCAGGCAGCAACGGCGCCACCAGCGCTGCAGCCTGCAGGGGATGCTTGTTGGCGTCGCAGAACAGACCGTGGCATATGGCAGCACCGCCCACACCGCTCTCCACACTCCTCTCGCCCGCGATGCAGGGGGCCGTGCTGCTTGGGCTGCTGGCTATGCCACTGCTGCTGCTGCAGCTGGTGGTGGTGGTGGTGGTGGTGGTGGTGGTGGTGGTGGTGTTGGTTGTGGTGTTGTCAGCGCCTTGTGACTCCGCCTGGCTCATGTCTGGCACATCATGAGGTGGTGTGTGAGAGTTGGCACGGCATGTCATGGCCCATGCCTGCACATCATCCCATGCATCCTCCACCTGCTCACACCACATTCCAATCAACACAGACGCGTTGCATCAAAACAGTCCCTGGTGGCAGCACACAGACATCAAGAGCACATGGAAGGAGCATGACGGAAAATCGATGGAGCAGGAAAGGGAAGTGGAATGCATGCACCATCAAGGAAACCCTCTCTCTTGCCCTTCGTAACACCTCTATTGTAACTCAATGCCCCACTACATGCACTGCACATGCATCCCTCCCCACCAGCCCGCACCCCGCACCCCACAGGAACTGCAATTGCCAATGTAGCAACAGGCAGTATCGAGCAGCCAGCACTTACATTCCCACATCACTATCACCCCACACACACCCTCCACTGTCCACCTCCCCCTCAACCCTCCCACATTATCCACCCATCACCTCTCCCCCCCCCCTCTCGTGCGCCCCCTCACCATCTTCTTCACATGGGTGACGTTGCCCCGGGCCGTGACCGCAGGTGCGAGGGCAGCGGGGTCGATGGCAAGCACATGGCGCACCCTGGCGCTCAAATACTCCGTCCACGCACCCGGAGCTGCTCCCACGTCCATGGCTGGGGGAGGGCGGGTGGGGTGGGGGGGAGGAGGGTGGTGGGAGAAGGGTAGAGGGACACGGGATTCAAAGCGCCTCACACCCTCCTTCAGCTTGCTCACAGCACTGCTGGCGCACCGACTGAGCAACACCCCTCTCCCAACCTCCCCATTCCCCTCGATCCCTAATCCCGCACCCCTCCCAACTTCCCTCCCCCCCTGCCTCTCACCTGCCATGTTGCCCCTCAGCCGGCCCCCCACCACTCTCTAACCTCCATCCCCCACACCCTGCCTTCCCTCTCACCAGCCATGTCACCCCGCAGCCGCCACCCCACCACGTGCAGCAGCTCCTCCAGCTTGCTCACAGCGCTGCTGGCGCACCCCTCACTGCCTGCAGCGCGGTCGCTGGGCAGGCGCCACATGGCGGCGGCGGGGGACAACGAGAAGAAAATGCGCGGATCGGGGGGGACCAGGGAGAGAGGCGTGCGATCGCGACGCGTGCGACGAGCAGGGGAGAGAGGGGTGGAGGGTGGAGGGGAGGTGGGAGGTGCGGGCAGGGGGTTGTGTGTGCTGGTGGGGTGGGCTGTGTCGTTGGATGAGTGGGGAGACTCCTGCGGAGATACAACAGCGTGAGAGAAAATATACGTGAAAATGTGAGTATTTGAGGGAATAAAGCAAGGAGAGGACAGAAAGTAGGATGTGAGAGGGGGTACGTTGCGGGTAAGGGATGCAAGCTTGAATGCATGGGTGCGTTGCGAGCGAGTACGGTGCAAGGCTGCTGACTGCCTCCAAGTCCATTCCCTAGCACTCTGCAACAAGCTGTTTCGCAATGTAGTGTTGCCATACTGGCATTGGCTTCTCAGATTCTTCGAGCCCGCCAGCCCGTTCCCTAGCATGCCACTACTGTCACATGCGATGCGACTCAGCAGCGCATCTAGGGGTGCGTGCGTGCAGTCACGCCACTATCACAAGGCCACCAACCAACCAACCTGCCTTGGTAGAGTGACGACTGCACCCACTCGCTGCCTCCCCTCTCCCATCCTTCGCCCTTCCACCGTCCTCCTCCTCGCAACTCCCACCATCCATCCCTCCACCGCCCTCATCACCCCTCCCTTCTCCATGTCCTACCATGCTCCGTGTGTGCTGCAGCTGCTGCTGAGGCACTACCACCCCACCATTCATCTCCTCTTCCCGCTCCCTCCCCTCCCCTTCCCCCTGCCCTTCCCCCTCGCGCCCTCCCCCGCCTCTGCCAATGCAGCAGCAGGGGGGCACGGGGGGGAGGAGGTGGAAGGGAGTGAGGGAGGAGGACGGCTGGCGCGGGTAGAAGGGGAAGAAGTGGGTGGCGGTGGAGACGGCGCTGAGTGTGTGGGTGAAGCGCCTGGGGTCCAGAGGGAGGGAGGGCGGCAGGTGGGATGCGATCCAGCGCTCAAAGTGCTTGGGGAACGCCTGCACGCGGATGGACACACGGGGCGAGGTGCGCTCAGACTGCGCTTGCACCTCTCCCTCCTGCTCCTGCTCCTCCTCCTCCTCCTCCTCCTTCTCCTGCTGCCGCTGCGGCTGCTGCGGCTGCTGCTGCTGGTGCTCTTCCTGCAGCTGCTCTCCCTTCTGGCACTGGCGGTGGTCCAGCGCCTGTGCTCTCCCTTCCTTCTGCGCACCACTCTCCCCTGTCTCCCCCCCACCCCCCACTGCGTGTGCTTGCGCCCACTGCTCTACTGCTCGCAGCATCTGCCAGGGGCATGCCTCCACATGCTCGCACCAGTACATGCGATGGATGTACCTGCACCAACACACCATGTCGTATCATGCCATACCATACCATGCCATGCCATGCCATGCCATGCCATACCATGCCATGCCATGCCATGAACGCATGCAATGAAAAGGCATGAGGAAACACAGCAACCAACAGCACGAGGCAGGTGAGAATACCAGAGGCGACTTCCAGCAATTCCGATGCCCTCAGGGAATCCACCCCAAACACGCCCGAGGAGTCTATTTTTGAGGCGCCTCAAAATTCCGATGCTCTCAAGGAATCAATTCCGAACACGCCCGCACCGCATTGCCTCTGCTGTGGAACACGCACCACTGGCGCCCCAGCACATGTAGCCAGCCACTGGTGCCACAGTGCCACCCAAGGAGCACTACACCCACATCAAAAGCAAGCATACCATCAGCACGAGCATCTCCCCTGGGTTATCTCCCGGGGACAACCAGCACTTGATGTAAAACCAAACGCACAATAACCACCAACAAATCAGCATCAGCATGAATCCCAATCCCCATCCCAATCCCCATCCCCATCCCCATCCCCATCCCCATCACCATCCCCAGCACCTGCTGAGGAACGTGGAGTCCACGAGGCGAGCCATTTCCCCCGGGGACAGGCGGCACCCGCGCAGCAGCACCAGCGCCGCCCCATGGTGGTCCGTGTGCGGCCCTAGCTCCTCCGCGCCCTCCACCGCCCCCGCGGGGAACAACTGCGCGCCGAAGAGGAGGGGGAGGGGAGGAGTTAGGGTGGTGGGAAGTTAGGCGGAAGGGGGTAGGGATGCGGGAGGGGTGATGGCGGAGAGAGGAAGAGTTGTGTGAGAATGATTGCATGACAGGGGTGAAGAGGGGAGAAGCGAGGTCGAGGGTTTATGGGCGAAAAGGGCCTGGAGGAACAAGAAGAGGGTTCAGGATGCGAAAGAACGAGTCTGAATCGTGGGTGCAAGTCCAGAGCATGTGTCGACGCCATGAATCACTGCGGCGAAAATATTGTTCCATCGGGTAACGTAGTCACGAATTGCGATAATCTCGGGCGGTGGCGGTGAGGGGTGAAGGATGAGGGATGAGGGAAGGGGGCGGGACTCGCGCCACGTTGCGGAAGGCGGCGAAGAAAGCGCAAACACACTGCAGTTAGCAGCCGCATTCAACAGCCGCACGTCGCAACCGCACATAGCAACAGCAGGTTGCAGGCGTACTCTGAGTGAAGGCGACGTGGCGTAGAGGAACAGGCGGTGCGCGTACGGCTGCGAGCCCACTTGCAGAACGACGTGCATCGGGGACTCCGCGAACGACTAGTAAATGGCGTACTCTATGTATCGCCTTAGTGTGGGTGGGTCTATGCACAGTATGGGTGAGGGGAGGGATGTGTTGGGCATTTTGTCTGCTCGATCTTTCTTCCTCGCTGATGGTGCGTCTACGGGCTCGTTTATCGCTCAATAACCCAACCAACCCATCGTTACGGATCGAGCCCTGTAACACCCTGTCATGAATTAATGACATTAATAACAGGCACTCTAATAAAGGAGCCATGATTCAAGAGTGTCGATACAAATAAGGGCTAAGGCATTTATAGGCATGAACAGGGCTAGCCGAGAACCAAGCGAACAGGTTGGGGCGATTCGGTTGGCGAAAGCTACGGAAGCGCTACGCGTCGAGGTTTGGGTTCGCAAAGTGGTTCGGGACTGAAGAAGTTGGCCGAGCCTGGACTTCCGAGAGTTGAGGTGTGCACGCTTGGGACCCAAAGGTCGTCGTCACTCGTGCGATGAACCCAATGTACGAGGTTGTTGGGCTGAGAAAAAGCCCTTTGGATCTTTCAGAGACTAAGTCCCAGTTGTACAAGGATGCTTGAGTAGTGCAGCGGAAGTTAAGTAGTTGATTGAACCCTTGCACTAGTATGTGAGAGCAAGTGATTGATTAAAAGAAACAAGCATACAGAAATATATAAAAATAGGAAAATAAAGCAGTCGTGGAATACAGTTAAAAGAACGGTTATCGAGTCGTACAGCGACTCGATGATCGGTTCGGTTACCACCCTTGCAGTTGTAACGGTCAGTCGCAACCTCCGGTTGCGACCCTTCGAGTCTTTCGTCCTTTCGTGTTCCTTCGTCCAACCTCCTTGTGTAACCTCCGTTGACTCGCGTACCCGATACGGCTTCACTTCGAGTGTAGTGTCTGTCAAACATGTATATCTACTATGTTTGCATAGACTGAATAGAGTCATCTCTTATATAGGGTACAACTCTTAGGTATATTCACATGTTCTCTCTCTTTTAATTTATCCTTCTACTCTGTTATGGTATCACGCGTAGGTTTCGACCCCCCCCCCCCCCCACTTATCGCTTCCGCTCCTACCCTCGCTAGGCCCCGCCGCGCCCCTCCTGGGCCCTTCGTCTCTCGTAGCCCAGTCGCGCCTCCCTGGGCCCTACCGTGCCTCCTAGCTCAGACGCACCCCTTCTGGGCCCAGTTGCTCCTCCTAGCCCAGCCGCGCCCCTCCTGGGCCTCGTCGCCCCTCCTCGCCCAGCCACGCCCCTCCTGGGCCCTATCGCGCCTCAGAGCCCAGTCGCGCCCCCCCTGGGCCCCGTCGCGCCTCCTAGCCCCGTCGCGCCCCTCCTGGGCCCTAGCGTGCCTCCTACTCCAGTCGCGCCCCTCCTGGGCCCCTGAAGCACCTCCTAGCCCAATCGCGCCCCTCCTGGGCCCCTAGCGCGCCTCCTAGCCCAGTCGCGCCCCTCCTGGGCCCCTAGCGCGCCTCCTCGCCCGTTCGCGCCCCTCCTGGGCCCCGTCGCGCCTCCTAGCCCAGACGCCCCTTCCTGGGCCCTGTCGCACCTCCCTGCTCTGTCGCGCCCCTCCTGGGCCCCGTCCCTCCCTTAGCCCCGTCGCGCTCGCCCGGCCCTCGTCGCGCCTGCCCGGCCCTCGTCGCGCCTGCTCGGCCCCGTCGCGCCTGCCCGCCCCCCCCGTCGCGCCTGCCCGGCCCCGTCGCGCCTGCCCGGCCCCCCCGTCGCGCCTGCCCGGCCCCGTCGCGCCTGCCCGGCCTCGTCGCGCCTGCCCGGCCCCGTCGCGCCTGCCCGGCCCCCGTCGCGCCTGCCCGGCCCCGTCGCGCCTGCCCGGCCCCGTCGTGCTCGCCCGGCCCTGTCGCGCCCTACCTAGCCCCGTCGCGCCCTGCCCGGCCTCGACGCGCTCTGCCGGGCCCCGTCGCGCCCTGCCCGGCCTCGCCGCGCCCTGCCCGGCCTCGTCTCGCCCTGCCCAGCCTCGTCGTCACAGCCCCGGCCCTACATCCTCCCTGGTACTGTCCCCCGTTCCCTGCACCGCTTTGCACCGCACTGCACTTCCCTGCCCCGCACTGCATCGCACTGCACCGCACTGGATCGCAGTGCACCGCATTGCACCGCACTGGACCGCACTGCACCGCACTGGACCGCACTGGACCGCACTGCACCGCATTGCACCGCACTAAACCGCACTGCACCGCATTGCACAGCACTGCACCGCACTGCACCCCACTGCACTATTCTGCATCGCCCTGTATAGTCCTTCCCTGCTCCTGATAGCGGCAGAGCTTCGCTTCGATGCTGAAGGTCAGCCACTGGAGTTCGAGGCGTGGCTTGCCGACCTCCGCCGCCATCTCACCGGCCAGCGGCAGGATGGCCACCCGCTTTCCGCACACCTTGACGGTACGCTCCCCTGCCCAGACCCCCCTGCTGTGCTGCTCGCCGACCCCACACCCGCTGAGCGCGAGTCCACTGCCGCCGCTGCCCTAGCACGCTCTGTCTGGCTTTCTCGAGACGCTGTTGCTCAGCTCGCCATTAGCAATGCCCTTCCCCCGCCTGAGCGCCCTCGCTTTAGGTCCATCACTACCGCCCAGGCCTACTTAGATGCTGTCATCAAGCGCTATTCTGCCCCCCCTGCTGCCTCCGTGGGTCGCCTGATCCTCCCGATGCTCTTTCCTGACCTTGCGTCTTTCCCCACTGTCTCTGACCTAGCTGCCCACCTGCGCTCGATAGATGAGACCTGGCGCGCTGCCTGCACTGATGCACAGCTTAGAGCCCACCAGCCGCCCATGACCTCTACCCTCTACCTGCTTGCCACCCGCCTCCCTGACCGCCTTGCCGCCGCCCGCGACCAGTTCCTTAGCATTCACCCCGCTGAGCTCACCCTCACCGACTTCGTAGACACCCTGACTGTTATCGAGACTCGCCACCGCTCCATCGCCCAGGCGAGCGGTACCGTGCCGGTCCCTATCTTTCAGAGTTGTGCCCCCGCTCAGTGTACCTTCTCCGACGGCCCTGTCGCTGTGGCTAAGACTGCTGCAGCCGCACAGTTTTGCTCGGGGAAGGGTCGCCGCCCCAAGGCTGGGCGCGGCGGGGGAGGCGGGGGTGCAGGAGGGGGTGGTGGTGGAGTCGGGTCGTCTGGTGCTGGAGCGGACGAGGGGACGCTGCCCAGTCCGGCTGACCCACTGCCTCAGCAGCCGCAGCAGCAGCAGCAGTCGCCGCAGCGGCAGCCTCCGCAGCAGCCCCAGCAGCCGCCGCAGACGAGGCATGCGAGTGCCCTCCCGCCCGGGTGGCCTGGAGCTGGTAGTGGCCGTGCGCGTGGTGGTGCGCCGGGTGGTGGTTCCGGAGGCGTGCGCTGTCAGTACCAGATCCAGACCGGTCCGCGCCGCGGCTTCGTTTGCGGTAAGATCGGTCATTCCACTCCTCGCTGTTTTCGTCGCCTGGACGACCTGTTCCGTCAGCGCTTTGGCCCGTCGCCCGACCTCCCGGACTGGCACAGTTTGCTTAGTCGTAGTATTCAGATTTTTGACTTGGACATGGATGCCATTGTAGCCGCCCTGCATGTGATGTATGCTGATGACTCTAGTGTGCTTCCTTCTTATTACCCCGTGTTGCCTAGTGTAGGTGTGCCTAGCGTAGACTCCCCTGCTGCGTCAGGCGTAGGATCCCCTGCTTTGTGTAGCCTCGGTGCTTCCACCGCTTCTCCGCCGCCAGGAGCCACTGCAGCACTTTCCTTCACCTTGGACTATGGCGCTTCCCGGTGTTTCTTCCGCGACTCCACTACGCTGACGCCGCTTCCTGTTCCTGCTGCCGTTTCTCTTGCTGACCCCTCCGGTGGTCCGGTCGTAGCCCGCAGTTCCACCTCCCTTCCCTGTCCGGCGGTTCCTTCGGGTTCGCTCACAGGCCTGCATATCCCCTCGTTCTCCAGGAACCTAGTTGGTGTCGGCTGCCTCCAGGACCTTGGCGTCACCACTACGTTCCCTGGGCACGAGCGGTATGCTGTCTGTACCGAGGCCGCCACTGGTGCCCCCCTGTCCACGTTCCCCCGGGACCCGGTGTCAGGCCTGTTCACACTTGACACCGTGAATTCCCCGGCTGGGACGTCCCCCCAGGTGGCTGCGTCTACTCAGGTTGCTGCTGCTTGCTCCTGTCGGTCCCTCACTCACCCGACACTCCTTTGGCACCACCGCCTTGGTCACCCTGCGCTCCCGCGTCTGCGTCTCACGTCCCAGCACGGTCTCGTCCTTGGTCTCCCCGGTTCGTTCCCCGAGTTTCCCTCCTCCCCCGCCCCACCTTGCACGCCTTGCGTCGAGGGCCGGCTTCGCCGTGCCCCTCACTCCTCCTCGTTTCCCCCTACCGCCGCACCGCTGCAGACTCTACACATGGACGTCTGGGGCCCCGCCCCCGTCCATGGGCCGCGTCGCGAGCGCTTCTTCCTCGTGCTTGTCGACGACTTCACGCGCTACACCACCGTCTTTCCCCTGGAGCGGAAGGCTGACGTGCCTGACGTTCTCATCCCCTGGCTTGTCTCTGCTCGTGTCCACCGCGGTCTCCCTGTCTTGCGTCTTCACTCCGACCGTGGTGGCGAGTTTGCCTCAGGTGTCCTCGGTCGCTTCTGTCGTGCGGAGGGCATCACCCAGACGTTTACCCTGCCGGACTCCCCGCATCAGAATGGGATCGCTGAGCGACGCATCGGTTTGGTCATGGAGGTGGCTCGTGTCACAGGATCGAATGTGTCGAGGAAAGGTTTGCTCAATGTTGCACTATCAATCAGTACAAGGTGCTTTTATACTTCCAGAATACATCAGGTAACCAGGTTTATCCTATCCAAAGGAAATAGACCCTTCTAGAAATAGAATCACCCTTCGTATAGCCACGCGAGGCTATTGGCTTTAAGGGATTACCGCAGGATTACGCTAGATATAGCGCGCCAGTACATCCCGAGCCTGGTCGGTGATATAATTATAATAACAGGATAAACCAAAGGATGATGGCAAAAGAGGAATAGGAAACCAAATGAGATGAGATAAAGACCAAATGAATCAGGATAAAAAGAGGAATGAAATAGAAAGGAA